ATTTTCTCTCCACTTAAACCCCCGACATTAGGTCCTCATTTTTCCCCTCCCTCCCCGCTCCCCGCTCCCTCATGAGCCCTTGATAGTTTATAAATGGGTATTTTGTCATATCTTGCCCTGTCTGACATCTCCCTTCACCCACTTTTCCGTTGTCTGTCCCCCAGGGAGGAGGTCACATATAGTTCCTTGTAATCGGTTCCCTCTTGCCTACCCACTCTCCCTCTACCATCCCTGTTTCGCCACTCACACCACTGGTCCTGTAGGGCTCATCCGCCCTGGGTTCCCTGTATTTTCAGTTCCTATCTGTACCAGTGTACATCCTCTGGTCTAGCCAGACTTGCAAGGTCGAATTCGAGTCAAGGTAGAGGGAGTGGGGAGGAAACACTTAGGAACTAGAGGAAAGTTGTATTTCTCATCGTTGTTACATCGCCCCCTGACTGGCTCATCTACCCCCCGAGACCCCTCTGCAAGGGGATCTGCAGTGGCCTACTAATGGGCTTTGGATCTCCACTCTGCACTACCCCCATCATTCACTATGGTAAGATTTTTTGTTCTGATGATGCCTTATACCTGAGCCCTTCGACATCTCGTGGTTGCATAGGCTGGTGTGCTTCTTCCATGTGGGCTAGGCTATAATCTTTTAGGAGAACAAATCACCAGGCCTTTCTCCTGTGGATTCACTGAGTAGGTTCAAACTGTTAACCTCTTTGTTAGCAACCAAGCATATAACCAAGTTGCCACCAGGACTAGAAGTAGAGGAGAGAGTTTTTTTTTTTTTTAAAGGAAGGTAGAGTATCAGGAAAGAGCAGATAATGCAGGAAGTTGAATATAAAAATGGAAGCTATTATTGTATTATTGGTAATCAAAAAGATAAAGTCAAATTTGATTCATAGACTCCCTACGAAGCAGAAGAAAACCACTGTGTGTTCTCAAGACTGTAATCTTTAAGCAAGCAGATGCACTCATTTTTGTGCTACAGAGCAGCTGGTGGGTGTGAGCTATTATGCTTGCACTTAATCACAATCTTAACCCACATTTTCACCATGGCTCCTCTCTTGGCAATTGTAACCAATATTCTTAAAATGTGAAGTGATTCAAGGAATAGGATTTGGGGTAAAGTACTCAATGCACACAAAATAGATTTGAAGTTGTGAGACTAGCCATGGAATATTGTTCAGACAAAGACATGAGTAATGAGAGCTGCGGGGGGTGGGGGGGTGGGGGGGGATGAAGGATGAGTAAAGATAGAGTGAGAAAGACATAGAATTTAATTGACAGTGGAGACTTGGAGATGACTGGAGCCCCTACCTTGTGTGAATGTAATAGAAGGGGCCAATGCACTGACATGGGGATTCTAGCAGCCCCCTCTGTGGGAGTAGCATTAACTGAATAACTCTTGAAAGAGTTATTTTGGGGTGCTCAAGGCATCTTGTTAACCCCTCTTTTATGGGCTTGAGACATTTACACTTTCCAATTTAAAATGTCTCATATTGACCAATTTAACTATTAGGGATATCATTGTGCCATACTCTGATCAGAAGTGATCATGTGGATTGATTTCTAATTCTGCACTGTATGTATGTCCTCACAATAGGAATGAAGACCCAGTGGTCATTATAGGATATCAACAAGGCTGGTCCCTCTAAGCCTTGTATTAAGCCTTTCATTAAGTCTACTAAGTCTACTAAATAAGGGTCACACATGGCACCCAAACTCTTTAACCATTCAGTCAACAGATGACATTAATGTATAGCTTTTAATGTATCTGTTTCTTTTCATTTTTTTTGTTTCCCATTTGTTATTCTGACTTTCCTAAGGTTGAAATGGAAGTTTACACTTTGGGGTGCTAACCAGAGAATCAGCTATTAGAACCCCCCAGATACTGAGTGGGAGAAATATGAGGCATTCTGCTCCCACAATGATTTAACCTTCATAAAATCTTGTGGAATTAACATATAATACAATATATGCCTTTTGAGGGAAAAAAACAAGTTTATAGGCTTGGATCGACAATGTCAGACCAAACCAACACCATATTCACTCCATTGAGTTTTTTACAACTCACTGCTAGTTTGTTGTCACAGTTACATGTAACAAATGGAAGGGTGGAACACCTATGGTCAAAGTGAAATCAACAAGCTTTGGAAAGTGATTGTCTTAAAAGTATAAGAGAAAGCAATAGTTACTTGTGGTTATTAGATCATAGTTGGGGTTTCTGGAAAGGCAGGGTGGTAATTCACACACAAAAGGGCCACAAGGGCCACATCCTTTGTCTAAGGATAAGCACTTTAAGCTTATCACTCATTTGCCTTCAGAAGCTTTGATCCCAGCCTCTGAGTTATCTTCCTACCCATATTCCATTCACTGAATCCAGTAGAACTATCTGATATGAACAAAGACCTATCAATACCCATTGTAAAACATCTACTTTTGAAAACCCTGTATACCAATACCTATACCTATACCTATACCAATAAAAAGCAGCCCAGGTGGTGTAGTGGTTATGAGTTGGGCTGTGATCTGCATTGTCATCGGTTCAAATCCCCCAGCATCCCTGAGAGAGACAGAGTGAACTTTCTATTTCAGTCAAGTTTAAGTCTCAGTCTCAGAAACCCACAGCAGGTCAGTGTGAGCCAGCATTGACTTATCGACAGTGAGTTTGATGTTTGGTTTATACCACTAAGAAACTCTCCCACTCAGATTTGGTTGGAAGCCCACAAATGATCATAGTTATGACAAGAAAATAACTGTTGAAATCTTGACAATATCTTCTTTTTTAGCCTTCCTCACCAATGACAGACATAGGCTTCACATGAGGTTATGAAGACTAAAAGGATTCTACTAATATAATTTTAGACAAATTGATAGGCTAAAGTATACAAAGCATGAAGATAGAGATACCTTCTAATCAACTGCACAGAACCTTCTTAATCTACATTTGAATATCATCAATTTATCTCATCACAAGAGCAAATACCAAATCCATTTTCCCCAAGCCTAGATATCTCAAACATCAAGGTCTGGTTTACCTATCACTTTCAGAGAAAACAAAATAAAATAACAGAAGAATCCATGTATTACTTCTCCCTGAGACATTAGGAATATTGGTTTGTAAACAATTGCACTGAATTCGAAAGTTTCTAGAGTATTCATGTCTCAGCTATAACAATCTGCACACTATTTGTCAACCAATAGAGCCCATGTCTCCTCAGAGTTGGTTTAACAAGAACATAGCAGGCACAAAGGAGATGCTACCTATCTAAGAGTTTTTAAATGAGCACTAGGTTTTTCAGAAGACTACTGTTTACAGTGGAAGCCCTAAATCTATTTTGAGTCCCCATACAGATTCAGCTCCATTGAGTTCTTTCTGACCATAGACCAGCAATATAAAAAAAAAACTCTGCCTTCAGGCAAAATGTGTTTGCTATGGCTCTCCTGGTTATCCCTTGAAGGAACAGTCCTTGTCCTCTGGAACTTATCTGGCTGAGACCATGATGCAAAGAGTTACAATCTTGGAAACTCACAGGGAAGTGAGTGTCCTATAGGGTCACTGTGAGTCATAATGGATTCAGTGGTTAAAGGTGGGAAAGGGTTATGTGATCATGAGTCATAAGTGAGCCTCTGTGGTCAGAGGTCCCTGAACTAATCTTGACAACTTTTCAAGTCTGTAATAGTGTTCTGATCCCAACCGTGGTCCCTTTCCTGCTTCTATCTTCCCATTTGTCACTGTGATGAATTAATCTGCTATCAATTCTGATTTTGTGACCATTTTGTCTTCCACCTCCTATTGAAGTAGTCAAGCAGCTGCAAGTCATTTGGACTTGTTTATGGGCTCAGCTGATGAGTTCATCAGGATGAACCATTTATGTCATTGTCCTCCTTAGGATTTAATAAAAGATTTCTATATGTTTGAATTTTGAGTCTATTCCCCCTATAACACACCTCTCATGTTATGTCCTAGACTAAGACTGACTGACAAGCAGAACCAGCATTCACTATGGCAGAATCCATTTACATCCAAGTCCCTGTCAAGAAACTCTGCTTCTGGCTTCATCAAGAACAGAAGAATTCTCCTCAGCCAAACATGGGGCTACCAGTCAGCACTACACTTGGCAGCAGGAAATCTGCATACGCTAGCATAGTCAGACAGACACTGACATGGAGGCAAACACTTTCGTGCAGGCGCTCTTTGTCTAATAGGCTTTCTTTGTTTCACACAGATCCAGGTACATAGATACAGATCTAAGGTGTCTGTTTCAAATTAGATTCCTTAACACTACTGTATTCCTGCATTCAAATCCCTGTTTTATAGGAAAAGCTGGGGTTTGTGAGCAAAAAAAACAACGTCGGCTTTATCCGAGCTACAGATTGCCTGGGTTTCAAAGATTACCACAGTATTCTTCCCTTGAATTTCACCCTTAACTGAATGAGACTTATTCTTCATCGCATCAGAATGCCTGTGCTTATGCATTTCAGCAGCTCCGGGTCTCTGAACTTTCCCGATTCTTTGTCATGTTTCAGCTTTAAACTACGAATACCTCGGGGGCTGGTGAAAAGAACGTAGTACAAATGGAAAAGTCCAAGAGTTTTGTATGACAGGAGAAGGAGAGTAGCTACAAGATAAAATTAATAAGAAACTAGTTTGTATAACTGATTTCAAAACAGAAGAAGAATGATGCTGAAGAGGAGGGGGAGAAGGAGGAGAAGGGGAAGGGGAAGGAGAAGGAGAAGGAGAAAGAAGAGGAGGAGAAGAAGAAAAAATGAGCCCAGAGTCCCTTTGGGCCCCCCAAAGCTATCACAGATGCAAATGTGTGCATTGTAACCCTTCCTTGCTTTAACTCCACCCTTGTGGTGGGCAGCTCAGGCTTGACCAATAGCCTCCTAGCAATAGGAGGAACAAAGGACCAGTGGCCTGGAAAAAAAAGAATAAAAAGGCAACACGTTCCAGCAGCAGTACAGCTGTCCCTCCGACACATCTGTGGCTACCACGAACTCCAAGACCAGACACCATGGTGCATTTCACGGCTGAAGAGAAGGCTGCAATCACAGGCGTGTGGTCTAAGGTGGATGTTGAACAGGCTGGAGGCGAGGCTCTTGGCAGGTAGGTAGATTCCGAAGGCAAGGAAGAGGGGAAGGAATAAAAGAAGCTGAGCTTGGTACAACTATAGGGCAGTGACCAGGTTTTGTGACAAGCTCTGATTTTCCACCTGTTATGTTTCTATCCTATAGGCTCCTGGTTGTCTACCCATGGACCCAGAGATTTTTTGACAGCTTTGGCAACCTGTCCTCCCCTTCAGCCATCATGGGCAACCCCAAAGTCAAGGCCCATGGTAAGAAGGTGCTGACCTCTCTGGGGGATGCTGTTAAGAATCTGGAAACCCTCAAGGGCACCTTTGCCCAACTGAGTGAGCTGCACTGTGACGAGCTGCATGTGGACCCTGAGAACTTCAGGGTGAGTCCAGAATATGTTTGTTCTTCCTTATGTTTAGCCTCATGCTACTTAGGCAGCTGAGTAGTTGTCTGACCAACAGTGAGATGTTTATAGATCATGGGTTTCTAATAAAGGAACCCCAATGGGCTAAATATAAGCAAAAAGGTATGGCAAAAAAAAACCCCTAGGAGTACTTTCAGAACTCTAGCGTGACTAGAATAAACCCTGTTGACGTTTTAAAGGAGACTTACACAGAGATGAGGAAATCCCTCTTGGAATTGGAATTCTGTAGATGAGAGAACAGTGCCTTCCTTTCTTCCTTCATTTGTTATCGCACCATGCATACTTTGCTCATTAAAAAGAATATGCAAAGATACAAGCAGGCATATATCGGTAAACTCTAACAAAGAAACGTAGGTTGCCTTGTATATATCATAAAGCTTAGTCCTATGTTAGTTGAACATTTGTTAAAACCCTTCTTGTTCCTCCTTTCACACTGGTTTCCTCAAAGTCTAGGTGCGGCACAAAGTGTCTGAGTGAGGGAACATTTGGGCTTCATTGTAGATAGGCGGGCAAGATGGAGCAGGGAACTATTGGGCAGGAGCAGTGTGGAAAAAGAATGAACTAGATCTGCTTAATAGCTGAGAAAGGCCATAGTCTTGAGGAAGCTGGCACAGACTTTGACTTTGCTTGGAAATTGGGAAGCCTGATACTTGTAGGCCAAGCTAGAGCTCTCTGGTAACCAGACAGATTCATTTAACTGTATCTATTTCCCTTTCCACCTCCACAGCTCCTGGGGAATGTGCTATTGATTGTTTTGGCACAACTCTTCGGCAAAGAACTCACCCCCCAGGTGCAGGCTGCCTGGCAGAAGATGATGACTGGTGTGGCCAATGCCCTGGTCTCCAAGTATCACTAAACTCCTCAGAATAAGGAGAAGCCATATATTTCAAATGATAACCTCATAAATAAAGTATTGTGTTCATAAATGAGATTAAGAGGACTCTTGTTTCTTTTTCATATAGCTTTTAGTAAATGAGCTCCCAGAGACATTGTATTTGGGATGTATGCTTTCTCTCCATTTAATTACTACAAAAGGTGGGGATTTAGACAAGAAAATGAAAGTCGAAGACAATAAAGAAACATAGCCTTGGAATTCTTCAAAGAAAAGCATCAACTCTGGGAGAGTTTGGGTGGGAAAGGAAGGGGTCTGTGAATGAGGATTCCTTAAAACCAGAAGATTTTAGAGGAGTGGGAATAGACATCCAGGAAAGCAGGAGAGGGAAGATTGAGGCAAAATAGCAAGGATGGGATTCCTTGGGGGAAAAACCAACAAACACCTGCCATGGAAGAGGTCCAGGTCCAGGTACGGCTTGTAATTAAATGTCATTTAATGCAATTCATTGTCTAAGAGTACCTGGCTTTTCATAGCCTTCTTGACACTAGATTGAGTTTGGGGAGGGTTAGGCATCAGAGTGGGGCATAATCTATTTTAAAGGCTAAACACTGAGAATTGGCCATACATTTTCTTAAATGCCTTGACAGTTTAAGTGATGAGATGTGGATAAGGAACTTAAAATGAGTATATGCTATCAGGAATGTCCAAGTATAGGAATTAGTTACAAAATTCCCTGGTAGATAAAACATTGCAAGTTGCTGGCTCAGAAGGGGCATAGATGGCCATAGATGGAGAAAATGTACCAGGTCAACCCTTGCTATGTGAATGAAAGGTCAACATTTTCAGTTTAGAATTAAGTGGAAAAGAATTTGCACAGACTAGGTGGGTAGGATAAATAAATAGGAGTTAGTATATGAAGGAGAGTGTGGTAAACAACATGGAGATGGGCATATCTAACCTCTTCTGTGTTCCCTATTGCCACAAGGCAGAATTCAGGCATACCTCCACTGTCCATCTTTCTCTACCTCTTATGATATACCAACTGTTGCTCCCATGCCACTCTACGTCTGTAGTGGATTCAACAATTTAATGTAATGGCCACAGATAACTCACAGATAATACAATGAAGAGGTTATTAGGGAAGTTGCAGGTTAGCATAACTCAGGATCAGCAAGCAGTAAGGATAGTCATTGGTCCACAGCAACTGCTCTCCTCAGCCAGCAACCAAGTGTCTCTCTGGTTCTCTGTCTCTCAGCCATGCGGTAGGGTATGCTCATTGATCTATAACAATATCTCTCCTTAACCAGCAGCCAAGTGTCTTTCCAGTTCTCAGCCTTTCAGCCATGTGTGCCCTTGGCCTTTGTCTTGATGGACCAGCCTGTTGCCTGACCTCACAGCCCCATAGTCTCAGGCCAGTTGAGGAAAAAGTTTCTAACAACAACACCCTTTCCTTAACATACTTTCCCCTGGCCTTATAGTTTCTTTCTCTAAAATTGAACAAAAATATGTTGTCCCCTTTCTTATATTTGCCCAAACCTCAGACTTTTGCACTTTGTCATTCCCTTTCCAGCATTGTTTGTCTAATGCTCTTGTTCCTTGTTTATCTTATCACTAAAGTCCCTTAAGGCATTTGACCTGCTACTGATTTTCTATAGTCTCTTGTTATCATATCACTATATATGTATTCTTCCTACCATATAACTCCTCTGAAATTCTCCTCTTTTTTGAGTTAATTATTTATACTAGTATCTTTGACTAGTCTCCAAGCACTAAGAGAACAAATATCTCAATTAGAAAGAATTTCTCTCAGCATTATACATGGGTTAAAAGCCCTTTCTACAAATGTAGATCTTTATGTACATTTTTATGGATAGTATTTAGTTTTCTCACTTGTATTTCTGAAAATAAATATTAACCTATTTGATGGCAGAAACTTTGTTTATGAACCTCATTCCTTTGCACACAGCATAGGACTTCCCAGGAAGTTTGTACACAATATATACTGGGTAAATTACGGAAATAATTATGTATTACAAAAGCAGACTTGTTTTCCCTGAAATTTCATTCACAGGGAATTTTGGTCGATCTTACTATGGAAAAACATTGATTTCCATATGGGTAATAACCTAGCATTATGATCATATAATGATGATGAATTTCTTCTTTTCATTTTAAGCAGTTTCTGTGTCTGCTTTAATCTTCTTTCCATTCTTCCCACCAATCAGAAGTTATGTTGAATGAATATCGTCTGTCACATTATGAATCCAAAGAGAAATTACTTATAATCTCACAAAATAGCTTAATAGATACACCTGTTAAGGTTTATCTAGGAAAATATAAAATATGAATAAATAATTCATATTGACATTCAAGCAATTGGTGGCACAGGTGTTGCAGTGCTCGGAAGTCAAAGAGGAGCTAGTGCTGAAACTCAGATGTTTAGCAAGAGCACGCAGCCTCTCTAGGCGCAGGCTCAGAAGAACAGAAGAAAGAGAAGTCCATAGCAGGCTCAGAGCCGGAAGTCTTCTGGAGTGAGCAAGGTGTTGAGACGCCCTGAAAACAGCTGTGTAATGGGCACATCTTAATGTCAGTCATAAAAGAGACAGCTGCTGTAGGAGATCCTGCCAAACTTAGGGCATCTGACAGATAACTTACTTATTATCATTATTCAGTCAATTCTTTTCTTTGTAGAAACTATGTAAAAACCAGAGGGCAGGGGATCCTGGAAAATAAAATGTATCAATCTTGTAGAAAACCAGCGGAAGGCTGAGGAACACACTTGCACAGTAGACAGAAATTTACGAACTTAGAAAACAAAAATTGTATAGCAAATGAAAAATTTTTATGTGGGATGATAATCACAATAATGAATGTAAGATGTGATGAAACCGGAATTCTAAGAGAAGTTAGCTTAAAACACTAGACAACAATATAAATATCTATTAAAATAGTATAATTTATAATATTAATAATGTGCATGATATCCATTGCACTTTGTCTTCATATACGTTTATTGAATAATTAATACCTGAATATTATTCATTAGGTATAATTGCCCTTTTAGTAAATAAAATAGCATTTACTAGCAGTTAATATGTTTAGTCATACAGCAAGATAGCAATATAATTGGGACTATTCAACTTCCTCTGGGCGTATGAAAACTCAAATATTTCAGTAATTTGTTTAGGGTGTCCAGGTAGCAAGAATCCCTGATGGAGCAGTGTCTAAAGCACTCCACTCTTGACCAAATATCAAGAGTTCAATTTCATCAGCTCTATGACAGAAAGTGGTGGCAACCTGCTTCAGTAAAGACGACAGCCTTGGGGAAGCTGTGGACCAGTTCTACTTCGTCCTATGTGGTCACGATGAGTAGGAATGGACTTTCTGACAACAGATTTATCCAGATAATAACTAGTAGAAGGACTTAAGAGAGTAGACCCAGATTGGTCCTAAAACCCTTGTTATTTCTCTTATGCCAGGTTGTTTCTCTTATACCATCCTCCTTCCATACACTTCCCTTTCTTCACACTTTTCCTTCTTATCTGGGGAAAGACATGGCTTTCCATTCCTACAGAGAGTTACACAGAGTCAGTTCTGCCCTCTCCCACAAGGTTCTTATGAGTAGGAATCAACTCAGTAGCAGTAAGCTTTGTTGGTTTCCTTCCTATCTACGCTTTTATTACCAACATTCACAGCCTTATCTGCCATTTACTCTGACAAAATCTGGCTTCTACTACAGCCAACATTTGCAGTATTCTAACTAAAATCTGTTGCGTTTCTAAAGCAGTGGGCACTTGTGGGACGTTGTCATATGTCACATTGCCTTGTAATTTCACATTTAGTCTTGATATTCAACGAAGTTTCCTCTTGGTCCATTTTACTTTATATTTATCATGCTTCTTCTGTATGTTCTCTATTATACCTATGCTTTTAAGTATAACCTGTACAATCACTAAATTAGAATCTCTCTGATCTGTCAGATGCACAGATTAAACTGTCTACTAGACAGTTTGACATTGACGTCCCATAGATACTCCAGTATCTAGATGTCTGATTCATTTTTTTCTCTCAAATGGCTTTACCTAAATTGTTTTCTGTTTAAGTTGATTGGAATGTCATATACCCATTCACCAAAGCCAGACTTGAAGTCTTCTTGACTTATTTCCTCTCCTCGGAGGAAAATTTTAAAATATTTAAAATTTTAAAATATTTAAAATTTATATCTCTACTACTTTCATATAAAAACTCCTGAACTAACTTCTAGATGTTCAGACAGCAATCAAATTTTTGCTGCCCACAACCCCACCCAAATACCCTCTAAGCCACATAAGAATGAAATTAATGAGAGTCAGCAGAGGTGAACAAGGTTATTAATCTATTCCTACAGTCAGTGATGAAGAAAGTGTTTTGAGAGCTGGCGGAACGGAAAGGGAGACATTGTGAACTTCTCTGTGTCAACCACAAAAAGAGAAGCATTTCCTGTCTGACTCTCCTAAATGGCATTGATATCTTCAGAATCTCAGCATGATAGGGGTGAGAGGATGGGAAGTAGGGGGTCAAGATTGGTTACCAGTGAGTATTAAGAAAATAGAAAGATTCCAGGGAATATACCTGAATCAGGAGATTAGTTAGGGTGAAATATGAGAAGCAATAGAAGTACAATACTTTCCTTTCTGAGATTTCAGGTAAGAAGGAAGATTCTGAAATGATAGATGATGGAATGTGAGCAGACAAGGCCAGTGGGGAGCCCTGGCGCCCTATCCAATTAAGGGATAGTGCTGCTTTTGCTTCTAGCACTTGATGTTTTCATTGTAAGAAGCAGAATGCCACACTTGAGAGGCTTTTCCTACTCTGAAAAGAACCAATCTGTGAAGGTAGTAAAGCAAAACAAAAATCAAGAGGATATACTGATAAATCGATATAGATAGTAAATTTTAACAGAAAAACTTCAACAGATACACATATTTTTCAACGTGTTGGTGTGAGATTGTGGGGACTAAATTTTTATCAAGGAATGAGTGTAAAAACATAAACCTTAGGAACCTAGGAAATTAAATGATTTCAGCAAAGCTTGAGATGCCTTACTACTTTCCTATTGTGAATGATGGGGGAAGTGTGGTGTGGAGACCCAAAGCCCATTAGTAGGCCACTGGAGATCCCCTTGCAGAGGGGTCTCAGGGAGGAGACAAGCCAGTTAGGGTGCGATGTAGCAATGATGAAAAATACAACTTTCCTCTAGTTCCTAAATGTTTCCTCCCCGCCCCCACTATCATGATACAAATTCTACCTTGCAAGTCTGGCTAGACCAGAGGATGTACAGTGGTACAGATAGGAACTGGAGATACAGGGAATCCGGGGTGGATGATCCCTTCAGGATCAGT